GTTTTTTCTTGGCAGTTTGAGGCCTTTAAGCAGCACCCAATGGTGGTGTCTCGATAGTCCAAAGGTTCATTGGTTCGAAAAACATTTTCATCAGTTTTTTTAATCAAGGATTCATTGAATGTTTTTCCTCAAATATTTTCTTTGTAAAATCTGATGAAAATATAAGCTGGAAAAAACTAATAATTTCTAGCTTCTTTATTTATTGCTTGGACAACAGTATGGTATCGGAGTATGAGTATACATCAAGAGTTATGCATCCTGCATGGTGCCTACTTCCGTGTAATGAGGATAAGACTGGGTTCCCATACCTAGATCGATCTAACAGAATCGAACCATCTTTTAGGGGTTTCTCGCTAAATTGCTTTCAGCTAAAGCGGCTTAGATGTCTAGCACGCCTACTGAAGCTGCTAAACGATAATTAATTAATTACCCCCTAGCAGCTCCAGTAGGCATGCAGACACCTAAGTTGATTTAGTGAGAATCCCCTCCCCTCAGAGATAAATCAGTACAGTAGGGTCTGGGAATGTTCCCTTACAGTGCCAGTGGTCACAGTAGGTGTAAAGAAATAATGGGATAACCTTTGGGTGATAAAAACAGGCCAAGCATGAAGCAGTATATATCCTATTTACCTAGTAAGTACTGTACAAGTCTAATTCAGCAAGAGACACTTGTGTGGGTGGCAGTATTCAGTAGTATCTCTAGACAAATGGTGAGTTTGATGCTCATGCACAATATGATGTTTACCCTAGCATAAATTTTCACTGCAAAATGCAAAAATTAAAAAGTGGGAAAGAAACATGTTTCCTGTTAGAGCTTTTGAGATATTTTTGTTTTTCTGTACTGTGGACCCTCATGTTGAATAATAAGTCGCAGCATTGAAAGATCTGAAAGAATATGACATTTGAATTCTATCAGTTTTCAGATAAAAAACAACTTAGGTTAAATTAATCAAAAACCTCCAAATCCTTTCAGACCTCCCCTTACATTTTTCTTGTAAATTTGATAAATTAGCATGAGATACATATTACATCACTCTGAGGCCATTGCTGATCAAAACCAGTGCATATGGTATGAACTTAAGCCAGCTTACCGTGTAAGAGAGGATTTCCTTTGGTGTTATTAAAGGATTTACAGTATGTGTAATTGTAATTTGAGCGCTGACATGACTTAACCCTTGTACGCCATGTCACAAATATCCACAAAAAATGCAACTTAATCAGTTTTAAATGATGGTTTAAAAGTTATTGTATGAACTCCACATCTTGGAAGTGCATTTGATTTTCCTTTCAGTCAATATTTGTTGAAAAATTATTTCTTTTGAAACTGTGTATGGCATGAAAGGGTTAACTTGGATGTATAACTTGGCATGCGGCCATCACAAAGAGGGTTGTTAAAGGTTACCATTAATCATTGTGGTGTGCAGACGGTTGGGGCCGTGTGCAAAAGTATTGATTTTTTTTTCTGTGTAATAAATTGAAGGAGTGTCTAAATCCATCACATTAATAGTAACAAGAAGCCAAGGTTGACTGAAGATAAAGAAGCTTTGTAAGCTTGTGTGAGTATAAAATAAGGTGTGTATGCATGGAAGTGAACTATTCACTCTTCTCCAGCATTTATTTAATACAGTGTGGATGAAGCTGGCATATAAATTTTTCTAAGCACATTATAGCACATATAGCACTTCATTTATAATTATGAAGGTGAAACATGAATATGCTAATATTAATTTATGAAATGGTGAAACTATGAAAATTTATGCCTAGAAGATCTTTATACTTAATGAAATAACATCTGTGAATGTTCTCATGCAAGCAGAATAGCTTGTGCTTAGTGGGATTCATATGACCTACATTGAAAGGTAAAGGTAATAACTATTGGATTTATTGTCTTATATCCTGGATAAAAAGACATAACAATGTTCCAGGGGTTTGTTTAAAAAAATAAATGAAATTTGTCTGAACAAAGACTGCTAAAAATTTTGTAGACAAAGTTGTTCTTCACAAAGACGCTTCAAGACAATATGTTCTCTTTGAACAAATTGTAAATGGATTGACTATGATTTTTACTCTGAATGGTGGCAATGGTCCAATTTGGTGTGTCAACTACATTGTGAATCATTTGTAGGGATAACCATCATAAACCCATTTCACATCTTTAATTGTTACACTTTTTTTTTTCAACAAAACATTTAGACTCGTCCTAACATGTAGTTATATGCCACAGGTGGTTTTGCTCCCAGTCTGCCTCTAACTGTTTTGACCAATCAGAACGAATCTGGTTAACCAGTGGTGTCAAGCCCAAGGTGGTTCATTTATAGGTGACTTTTGTGTAATAGCTAGACCATAAGTTGTCAATCTCTCAAAGCATTTGGTACAGATATAGGCTACACATGTACATTTAGATAAGTGTATATAATGCATGAGGTGGAAAGGGCTTTGGACCAATATCTTGAATTATTCCCAATTGAACTGTCATTCTACATAGATCGATCCAACTCCTCAAGGACTCTTGCTGAATGCAATCAGAGTAACAGATTAACATGCCTCCTCTTGATGGATGGATGGATGGATGGATGGATGGATGTTGAGTAGAATACAGAAAATCAGGTGATTATACAAGTATGTTGGAAACAAGAGGAAGTATGTCAATCAGTTGATCTGATTGCATTTAGTGAGAGTCAGCGTGGCGTTGGAATGATCTACATGGAACGACAGTTCATAGTCCACTTTCTTATTTCAAGAGTCTAAGTTAGGACAAAAAACTAGGTATCTTTTTTGATACAGGCCCCTGGTCATTATGGATCTGTTCCAACTGAACTGATCTTGCTTACTTACAATTTACCATCACTGCCATAATTTGTTTGAATAATTATAGCCTGTAGCACTCCGGCTCGTGCACTTTCTCTTATCTGTTTTAAATCGATTATTGTGCTATTAAGACCTTATTCCCATACTTAGATCGTTCTATCAGGGGTTGACCCATCTTTGAGGGGTTTCTCGCTAAATTGCTTTCAGCTTAAGTGGCTAAGATGTCTGGCATGCCTATTGGAGCTGCTAAACGATACCCAATTACCCTCTCCCCAAAAAAGCTTTAGTAGGCATGCCAGGCATCAGAGCTTTTTACACTGAATGTAATTTAGCGAAAAACCTCTCAGAGGTGGGTCGATCCTGCTAGATCGATCTAGCTATAGGAATGGGGTGTAAATGTAAGTAAAGTACAGATGGCAATGATGTCATTAGCCAAAACAGCTCTGTTTTGAAAATATATCATTTCTTCTCATTCCTTTAGTAAAACTTTGAGAAAATCTTGATTCATCATCACTATACTGGCTGATCACTGGACCTCCCAAATCCTGGTACCCATAAATCCACATTTGATTAGTGTTGCAAGCCTTCTCAGTTTCCATACAGCACATTCAGTAAATAACAAAAAAAAAAAAAAAAAAAAAAAAAAGGAAAACCAGTGTCCCATCGCTCAGATATTATATGTACCCTGACCAGGTGTCAGCTGACATCTTTTATAAGCTTATTACTTGCTAAAGCCCCCCTAAATCATACTGGACAGCATCTTCTCCATCCTCGTAGTACAGCCCCGTTTGAGAGTAAAAATAAAAAATAGTTAATGTGCTGACAACTGGCCGATCATTGAGCATTCACTCTGCAACCAAAGCAATGCTTGTGCCTCTTTTTTATGACCACAGCAATACCAGTTTCATGGTCACACAAAGGACGCAAAAAGGACGCCGCCCAGTGTAAAGGGAGTTTAAGTAGTTTGTTCCTTTTGATAACATTAAATTGTGAGTTGTGGTGGTCAACTTCAAATGTCATGTAAAATTACTTAACATTCGGCGGATATTTTTAAAGAGTATACCATTGCATTACCAGTTCAAAACAGTGCATCAGCTAATAACAATTTAATATATTCAGACTTGCATACCTAAAATCTCAAAGCCTTGTTACAGAAGTTTAGTCAAACAGTAAGCATTAGACCATTACAAAGCAAAATTATTTCCTGGAAATTTCATCAATTACTCTTTCTAACCAAGGTATACAATATCCACAATTACCATCTACTAGTATAGCCTAATTTATGAGTTATAAGTTTCACATGTCTAACATGCACTGTTTTCCTTTCATTTTGATCTGCTAATTAGAAAGCCTGGCAGTCTTTCAGTTAAAATTTTCATTGACAGGAAAAAAAAAACTAGTGATTTGGGGGTCATTAATTCATAGCTCCATTGATGATCTAAATAGTAATTAGATAATATTCAGTTTGACCAACAAATACACTGTAAATTTCTCTTTTCTATTTTTGTTCTGATATCAATTTCTATTGAGCCTTAATGTACAGTTTTATAGAGCCTTAACACCATTGCCCCCTGCACAAATTTTAAGACTTGCAGTTTCAGATTTAGGGCCCTTGGGGTCAAGATGCCTTCAAACCATGAAATGAGAACATTCAAGATGCACTCTATAAGTAATAAGCAAAGGTCTATTATAAATATATATTAATACAAAACTAGCTGATACCCGTTACATTAATCATTGAACTGTGATAAGAGATTAGTTGAGATCGACTCACACAGAATATATATAGTATATGAAGAGATTCTGTAAATGATTCTGTATATAAATAGCATATATATTAACCTCTAATCATGGTTCAGTGATTGATGTGATGTGTGTGTGTGTGTGCGCGCGCGTATGTGTGTGTGTGTGTGTGTGTGTGTATTTTTTTTTAATTCAATTATCTTTCTATGCTGTAAGTCTTGGCAGTAGTTATGGTACAGTTATGGTAATGGTGCTTTCAATTACTGGAAAAGGTGAAGGGGTTATTCACCAGATGCCATCAATATTCACCTGCTCATGTAGATTGTAATCATCAACATGGTTTGGTGTGCAAAATGTAGAGGGTCGTGTGCAAAGGTAATTGTATAGCTGGTAGTGATTCATATGTCCCTTGGCATATTGATTGTATGCTGGTGTGCTAGGTAAGTTACGTAAGCTTTTAATGGGAGTAGTTCTCATAAATAGTTAACAGCATTATCTGGGTTTTCTGAAATATTGCTGTTCATTGTTGAAAGGGCCTGTTTGGCATAAGCAATTCTTATCAGCATACATCACATAATTAGTTATTGGTCCCCTGTAGTTATATGGAGAGGATCTTTTGTTTAGCAAGGTTTATAGCCTAAGGGGCTGTTGGAATTTGACACCATATGAATACTTGTGAGGGGTAGTTGCTTGCACAAACTAAGCTCTGCACATGTGGTATTGATCATTCTAGAAGAGTGGCTCCATATAAATCACAGGCAGTGTAGGTAGTGACCAAGAGGACTATTTACAGAGAAAGCAGTCCTTTGTGTGGATATATTGACTCAGTACAAAGGTAAATTATGAATTTGCTTATCAATGCACAAGATTTATTTGATAGGCAGAATGCCAAAATTTTCTGTAAACCTTAACTGCATTATCACATGCCCTTTATCAGTAGTTTGCCAGACTGATAAGTTGCAGCTGGGTTAAGACAGGGTCAAATTATTATCACTGTTAAATATAGCATTAGAGGCAGTGCCTTCTTTGTATAGGCTAGGATATGTATGCTTACTGTAAATCTGGATATAATGGTGCAATAAAATGACAGCTTTGAAAATCAGCTTTCTGGATTGGGGGAGGGGAGGAGGAGACAAGTAAAGACAAGGAAAATTGATTAGTGCTTGTAAGTTGTACATTAATTCCTTATGTAAATGGAATTTACTAAAAGTGAATTTTTTTTCAATCTCACTGAGTTATTTAATTGTTTCAAGTAAATGTAATCAGGGATTGGCACATTTTTTTTAGTTTTACACAATTTAAAAGCAACAGTGATAATAACAAGTGCACAAAAAGTGGTATTATTGGGTGGGGTGGTGGAGGGGGGGGGGCAAATGAAACAAGCCCACAAGAACAGATATGACATCAGCTTGTAAAGGGCACACGCATGTGGCAATAGTTCTATGTAGCTGGAATAGAAAAGTCGAAACATAATCAAACTGGTGGGTGAAGTGATACAAAAGGACTTAAAATGGGAATTATAGACTGGGTTTTCATATTCTAACTCCCTAGGGGTCCAGTTAAATTGCTATCAGCTTTAAAGGGAGCCGAACGCACACAAAAGTTAATTACCCCCTTACAGCTTTTAGTAGGAGGGACAGACATTTAAGCTGGTTCAGCTGACAGCAATTTAGTGAGACTCCCCTGGGAGATAGATCGATCCAAATATCTGTGTCTTTACAGTTTTGCCAGGACATGGATTTTTATAGCCTCTTGAATTAGGGTTTGAACACAGGATGGGATGAGGCCTTACCTGCAGTAAGTACCTAGCTGGCATTTAAGGGTGAAAACTTAGGCAACTTCTTGGCTTCTTTAACTTAATCAGAATAGTCGACAAGCTAACTTAACCTCTTTAGACTTAACATGTAACGTATAATAAGGAAGTACCTACTACAATAAAAGGTATTACTTAAAGTTACAGAAATTGCCTGTGAATTATTAAATGGTTCTGATAAACTGATGACAGCGATTCAATGAAAAAAATTCTCAAGGGCATTCTGTACCGCAATATCAGGTAAAACCAATTCTCTCTTCCCACCAGTAAATTCTTTTGTTTGCGCACAGCTAGCAACATGGTCTAGGGCTTTAGATGGAAAGTGCTTGTTATATAATCTGCCTTTGTTTTTCTGTCTGGCAAAGAAGGGACAAATTAAGGAGGGATTTCCAATTTCAAGTTTATTTTTCCTTAGCACAAACATACATGATTATAAATATAAACTGCACACAGGCCATATTCCATGTAGCATACCAAGCACTTAACCTCAGAGCAATTGATTTCTGTCAGAGGGTCTTAGGACGCATTCACATCGAGTTGAGCCATGGCTCTACAAAGCCACGACCTAAATATGGCGGACGTACATGAAAGGAAAACCGCCTAATCTTTTAATAGTTTCTCCGCCTCTCACATGCCTTCCCATGTGTCGTCCCAATGGAGCCGAGATTTAATGACTGTACCCCCACAAGAACGACGCATGGGGAGGCGTGTGAGAGGCGGAGAGACTATTAAAAGATTAGGTGGTTTTCCTTTCATGTACGTCCGCCATATTTAGGTCGTGGCTTTGTAGAGCCATGGCTCAACTCGATGTGAATGCGGCCTTACAGACCTGTCAAGTGCCAGTGCCTGAGTAGTTATGTAAATAGTGACCAACCTATAATTATCATTTGGATCTCATCATGGTGTCACAGTACAGAAAATTGAACAGAGACAGTGGGAGCATTCTCATCGAGAAGAGCGTCATTCACTCGACTGGTTAAAATGAGGCAAGATTTAATTACTGTCCCCCTGCAGGGACGATGCGCTGGGAGGCGTGTGAGAGGCAGAGAGACCATTAATGCATTAAGCGGCCTTCCTTTCATGTAGGTCAGCCATATTTAGGGCCCCACTAGACCTCAGCTTTTCTCAATGTGAATGTTCCCAGTGACACATCTGTGAATTTCTAGTGAAAAGTCAATCTGTGACCCTGGTAGCGGGTAAGAATCTTATAGGTTGCTTGTCTCATGGTCCCTGTAATGTTGTAGACACAAATTTTGATCACAAGAGAGTGGTGGATTATGGATGAAAAAAAATTTATGAGTTCACCATTAGTCATTCGATATTGTTTCAATCAATTTTAAATAGTCCATAATTGGAAAGATACATATTATTTATTTAAAGTAGACATCAAAACCTTAAATATGATTATTTGAAGAAAAATTTTTCTTAGTTTAGTTACTTCATTGTTGGAATGGAAAAATAAAACAAAGTTTGCTTATATAAGCTGAGACATTTTTTTTTGACCACTCCCTTAAGGACATCAGTGCATGTACGTCATGTCATGCTAGAATGGAGCAACAATTACATGTTAATCTAAGGTCAACCTGATATTATCATGTCATGCTAGAATGGAGCAATGATTACAAGTTAATCTGAGGTCAACTTGTTATTATACTGTTTCAATCTCACTTTTGGTACCTTCTCTCAGCCTTGCTATGGTTTATGATTTATGATCCTCTTTTTATTATGATTTTGGTTTTCCAGCCTCATTTCATGAATAATTTTGGGTTGTTACAATGGTCATATAATAAATGATTTATATAATAAGTCAGCAGTTATTCCACACATGTTTGTACTGTCATAGGATATAAGCTTTTTGTGCCATGGGTGCCTATACTTTTTATGGACTGACACTGAGTCTGAACATCAAGCCATCACCTGCGCCTGTTGTCATCTCCAGTATGGTTACTGTCACAGCAATTTATTCATTAACTCTTCAAAACCACGTCACCTATTGTTCTCAAACTCATAGGAATGACTCTTGGGAATACAATGTAACACAAATTGGAAAACCAGTCTGATTAGATTGTTATTTTTAAAGGCACAAAAAGGAAGATTTTGGGACCTAAATTCATATTTAAGGAATTATCCTGGGGTAAACAACATTAGGCATGTCTTAATCTCTGAAGTACTTCACAGTAAGCACTATATAAAATGGCTAAATTCATAGGAAGAAGGATATCGACAAAGGGATTGAAAACAAAATTACAGATGGAGTTGGCTAGAAAAGGAAGTAACAATTTGTGTTGGGAGAATCTATTAGGAAGGTGTATGTATCATGCAAATTTCTTTGCATTATAACCTGTGAGACCTTATGACCTTTAAGGCCCCATTCAGATCAAGAAGAGCTGAGTGCTAGCTAGGCAGTGACCTAAATATGGCGGACCTACATGAAAGGAAGACCACTTAATCCTGTAATGGTCTCTCTGCCTCTCACACACATCATCCCTGCAGGGGCACAGTAATTAAATTTCGGCTCAATTCAACTGGCCTAAGGATGTCGCGTGGGGAGCCGTATGAGAGTGGGTCGACCATATTTAGTCCTTGTATCTGTTCGTTTGTTGTTCTGAATGCGCTCTAAGAGGTTCACAGGCTGTCAGAAAACAATTTTGCACAGATAAAACATTGCCCTGTAAGCAGCCCCCTGGACTCTATGTAATATTTTCAGATTTTTTCACTAAATGCTAGTCTCATCCCTATTTAATGGCATGATTGAAAAAAAAATTATAATATCAATTAAATTGATTAGTAAAAATTAACAAATTCTGCAGATGAAATATTTCTGGTCTTGTGTGTCTTGAAATTTCTTTTAACCTACTTATATTTATCCCATCTTTTATAATTATATCAATTTGTTCAACCAACCCTGTTGAAAGTGATTTGAGCATTGGATCAGACAGGATACTTAGCCTAAAACAAATACCCACATGATATTTCAATTTGTGAAATGGATTTCAGTGGTAACTGTCAAAAATTGTACTGGTAACATTTTGTTTAAAGTGTCAGTATACTGATTTGTTATTGCTCTAACTTCTCCCATATTGTTTTTTAATTAGACTGTATTGATGATATGCCATGACTGTGGTACATCTTGTTCTTTATTTGAAATGAAATTGCTACCCATGCTAAAAAACGGTTACATACAAGGAATGTAACAACTGTTACCAACTTATAAGCCAATTTAAAAAGAAAGCATGGCTAAAAAAGCCATTAAAGATACGAGATAGAAGTCCCACTGGAAAAACATGACTTAAAATATCATGTATTTTGGTTTAAGATGTTTTGCCATGTAGGTAATGAAGGAAATGCTTTTGGTAGTGTAATATTTTGACCACTTTTATAGGCTTTCAACTATCAGTTGAGATAGGGTTACATAGTCTTACAAAGAAGATTTCAGGTTAAAAGACTTTTTACCTCCACCATGGAGGTTGTTTTCACCTCTGTGTGTCTGTTTGTCACCAGCCTAACTCAAAAAGCGAAGAATAGATTTGATGAAATTTTTATGATAGGTCAGAAATAAACTAACTTCAAAGTGCTTAGATTTGGGGGATGATCCATTAATTAATTAATTAATGGTTTATTATTAATTGATTATTTGTCTTGATGGAGTGCATCTCTTATTTCAGTTATATCATGACCAAACAGCACTTTTCCTTCATAGAGATAAGAGGAAAACCGTTCTTTTACTGACTTGATTTCACCTTCCGTTTCAAGCATTTTAGATGTTAATAAAGGAAATAAAAAAATCACTTAAACAAATGTTTTCTTATACATTTTTCAATTGATTATTAATTGATTATTTGTCTTGATGGAGGACTGTGCTCTCTGAGTGCATTTCTTATTTCAGTTATATCATGACCAAACAGCACTTTTCCTTCATAGAGATTAGAGGAAAACCATTCTTTTACTGACTTGATTTCACCTCCGTTTTCAAGCATTTTAGATGTTAATAAAGGAAATCAAAAAATAACTTAAACAAATTTTTTCTTATACATTTTTAATTTGATTTTTACAGCTGGAGTAGATGTACCCAAGAGTGAATGAACATGCCTTACCAAGTGAAAGCAGAACCTCCAGCAGATATTCTAAATGCCCCACAATATGCAGTTTCCCAGCAATCTTCTCATCCTGGAACTGCAAGTCAAGCATTGGCACACCAGGCAATGGTCAACCAGTTAGGACAGGCAAACCACCCACACAACCAACCTGTATCACAGAATTCTCAAGTGCAACAGCCGCAGGCTACTGCTAACTCTAAACCACAGCAGACAGCAGCAATTGATGAAAACCAGATAGACTATGCAAGTGCTTGTGGTTTGTTTGGTTGGGAAACTATTGATGGAGTTAGCATTCCATACTTATTAAGGCAAAATAAAAAATTTGTTGCTGTTCGTGTTGTAGAGATGAAACTCTTGTCTAAGTTTCCAAATGTGTACCCGGATGAATTAACAAAAAGGCCTCCGTTGATGAGTTATTACATTACACCCAATGAAGCAAAGCTGATGATTGAGATCAATGTGGAACATTGTGCATATGAATATGGCCCAGCTCCATTCACAACAAAAGATCTTGTTGTTAAAGTGTCTGAATTCAATGAGTTTTATGAGCTAGTAAAAGGTTCTTTCTCAGAAAGTGAATTGGATAAATGGAGAAATGGCATGATGACAGGAGCTAAGCCAGGATTAGGAGGATGGATCCAAATGAACAACACTGTTGTACCTTTTGTGTGTAGAGCTGGACTCAAGTATGTGCCTCTGTCTGTCATCAAATATGCTGCCAACTTGCTCAATAATGTTGACTTGAAATACAACACGCATGACCCAATGGATTATGAATGTGAATTCATGAACTCGGCATGCAAGAAAGCTGGACTGAATTTTCAATTTGCAAAGGAGAGGACAAAGTTGGTGAGATTGAGCCTTGTTGAAGCTTTGGCAAAACCGAAAGTTCAGCCCCTTCCACCAGATAACCCATTTAGTCATGCAAAGTACACAGAACCTCCTAGATCCACGCTGCCACATCAGCCAGTTGTGCAACGCCCCCAACCAACAAGTCAACAGATGTCCACAAATTTGTCTGGAACACCAAGTGTGAATAGTCAGTATATGCAAACAATCTCTTCGGGGGTTGCCTTTCTACCTGGTTCTACATCTACAAATCAAATTGTTTCTCCTCACAGAACTTCTACTGTATCATCCGTATCATCTAACAGTCAGCAAATGCCTCTGAAGTCACCCTCACAGGCTGCATTCCAAGGACCAGCTTATCAACACCCAGGAAAAAATCAGCAGAACACCAGACCTCAGATACCCACCATAACAAAGGCCCCAAGTGTTCCTCAGAACCTACAGCAAGCAGGAGGACCTTCCAGGGCAATTTCGTCACAGATTGGCTCTTTTCAAAAACCATCACAGGTCAGCAATGCACAAAACACTGTCCAGTCAGCTAGAGGACCTCCAAACAGGACTGCACCACCGAGCACAGTAACTACAACAGTTGCAAGTATTATGGGAATGGGTAAGGTTTTTGTTTCTTTTTTCCCCAATAACTTTTTTGGACTCTCAAACACTTTATAAGACCTTTAGTGTAATTTTATGTAATGAAAAAAAGCACATTTCTTCAGAATCTCTCTGCCGGTGGTAGTACCTCTAATGTTTGGTGTGTTCTGAAAATATTTTACTTATCTCTCAACAATCACCACCAAAAATGAAGTTTTAACTTGCCTTTAATTTTGGGGTGTTCAGTGTCTTGTATGCTCTTACTGATTTATGTCATTTACTTGTTTGTTAGATATTTAAAAAATCCAACATTTTACAGGTAACCAGCAGTATCCAATACAGACAACTGTTGGAGCAGCAAGCATGATGCAATACCCTGCTACAGGATTTATGGGCTTCCCAGGGATGGTGCCATTCATGCAACAACAAGTAAGACCTGGAATGTTTCCAATATTTGGAAGTTTTCCATTTTTCCCAGGATTACCACCTCCACCACCATATAGTCAAAGTCAGAATCGCCCTTCTGCAGCTTCTGGGAGGCCAACTACTACCACTGCATCTAGGCAGGTGAACCCTCAAAATTATCCATATGCTTCAGGAGCTCCAAACCCAGTCTGCAAAACTCCATCAGCACCTTCAGCCTATACTGCAACCTCGAAGCAATATGGCAGTGTTCCAAATACAATCTCTACTGGTCATCATCCACCACATGGACAGTACATATCAGGAAGTCCATCAAATCCACTTCCAGAATCTATGAGAAACTTGGTTCAGAAATCGGATAATTCATTTCCAGTGACTCCAGCACAGGTTACAGTAAATGGTGTCAATAGTAGCAGACCACAACCAAGTATTGTAACAAACAGGCAACCATCCACCTCTGGCCACAAAGTATCAATGGTAAATGTGGGTGGTAGGAATGTTCCTTGTCTGGTAATGGCAGGCAGTGGAGAGAAATATATCTTACTGCAAGAGATTGCTGCTAGATTTTTAAGAGGTTGTTCCATCGAGGAATTTCAGTTTGTTTTAGAGAATGTTCTTGAAGTCGGCATCACCCAGTGCTCCAGTGAAATGGGAAAAGAATTCATGCAAATGTGCATGCAACCTGAACCATTTTCAAATTCAAGTATGATCAAATTTTCTGATTTTAAAACGTTTTTACCACAACTCAAGTATATTTTGAAAAATAAGATGGTAGTTGATGAAGATAATAGTGAAAACGTAAACCAGCAAACATCTCCTAGAATACAGCCTAGGGCAGTTGGGATGGAAAATACCATGAACCATGATACACAGGTGATGGGCAATAAACGCCCGGCTTCAGAAAGTCTTCAAGGTCCTCCTGCTAAAAAAGGCAAAGGATCATTGGACAATGCAATTAACAAACTCCTACAACAGAAAGATGGTCTTGAAAAAGTTCCTGGACCAATTAGATATACTACTACAAATAAAGAGTGTTCGATCCAAATGATTGAGCGACAGAGGGGAGATGAAGCTATTGTCCCACAGGCACACACACCAAGTCCTTCACCAGCAGTTTATAATAATAATACAACAGGAAAAAATGGCACACATCAAAAGGACACTGAGCATCCTGTAGTTATTTGCCTAGATTAAGACTTGTGTTGTTTTTTGTAAAGGAAGTGTGGTATATCTATCAAATCTGAAGCCACTTTATTATATGTACATGTAAACTTCATGAGTTTGGTTCCATATTGCTGAACAATCAATCACAAATATGTTAAACTCGTACTTTGCTCTCCATTGTCGAACCAAAAAATGATTTTAAATGTTTTTTCCATGTTATCCTTTTTTAAAACAAACTTTACTTTTTGTATGTAAATAAAATTAAGTCTGTAAGTACATCACTGACATTTATTAGGTTAGTCTTGTGAAATATATGCTGCCATGAGTCATGCTAGGGGATGGTGGAAAGAACAGCCAGCAGTCGGTTTACACAGGAAGGTGTTTAGTTTTAGGGCATTTATTTATATATTATATAAAATACTTTAATATTTATGTAGTTTCCATACTGAAAGAAAGGGTAAGTTTCTAAAGAGATGTCTTTGATGAAGTTGCTCCATTTCTGAACTGATGTTTTTTATTTCATTTTATTATTTTTTTTTTTACAAAAATGTTTTGGTCACTTTTTGTAATTTAATTATTTTCTCCTTCGTGGTTTTGCTATCTCCCATTTTGTTATGCAATATATATATATATATCAAAAGGGAAGGTCATAAGTTACACAGGTAAATGTCACTACAATTCATTACAAGCAAAACAAATAAAGGTGAATCTCGGATTTTCTTTTTCATGGCCAGTATGATTTCTTTATACATACTTTATTCTTCAAATGTAATTTCAAAGCATACAATAAACAGTAAACCATTTCAAGAGGCTTGTTTTTAAGATTAATCTTAATTGTTTTAAATCTGTTTAAAACTAATAGGGTTTTCAGAAATAATATTTATCCTCTGCCCAGGAAAAGGAAGAAGGTGAATGTAAAGTTCTCAAACTTAAAAGGAGCTGTTACCAGCATAGCATTTTTTGGGGGGGTTGACACTGAGCATCTGACTTCAATGAATTGGCCAGTTGTGCAGTGAAAGGTAGTTTTGCATTTTCTGTATACTTGGGTGGAAGCCGTTAAGTCAACTGGAAGAGTGATAGGTCACTTGTATAAGAGATTGGTTTAACATTGCTGATTTATTTAACTTCGTAAAGTACATAACATTCTGATCAGTCACCAATTATAAATACCTCCTTCCCATACCCAGATTGATCTAACAGGATTGACCCATCTCCATAAAGTACATAACATTCTGATCAGTCGCCAATTATAAAGACCTCATTCTAATACCTAGATTGATCTAACAGGATTGACCCATCTCCGCGGAGTTTCTTGCTAAATTGTTTTCAGTTTAAGCAGCTCTGATGTCTGGCACGCCTACTGAAGCTGCTAAACGATAGGTACTTACCCCCTAACAGCTTCAGTAGGTGTACTTAGACCAGCCCAAAAGAAATCACTACACATTACGTAATGCAGCAGTGCTTCAGTCAAGGCAGTAAGTTGATTATTACTGACACACCCGACTTCACATTTATCTACATATTTACTTGAAATGCACGTATTAGAAATAAATAATATATTTTTACCTGGACATACCTTTGAAACAAAAATAGTCCACATTAAATGTCAAGTCTGTATTTATTTATTTATCAACATAATGACCAGCTCGCAGACTGCTACATCTCTTCTTTGTAAAATTGGAAACTGAGAAATCAAATAGAACTCTTGTTCTTTGAGGGGGTGTTCACAACGAATGAAGTCCACAGGGACTTGCTGAATACAATCAGATTAACACACCTCTTGTTTACAACGTGCTCGATCGTATAATGTCTATAATATCCTGCTTTTCTGTATTCTACTCAATGCCAGGAGGAGGCATGTTTATCTGATTGCACTCAGCGAAAGTCCCCTTGGACTTAATGCGGACTAGTTAATACAATAGATTCGTTGTGAATGTACTCTAAGACATTACGTTGTTTGTACGTTCGTGGGCTTGACACGCTGGTTAAGTACTCGCTGTCAGTGACGTTAACGTCATTATTTGGCACTATCACGAAAAGCCAAGCTCCTGACTAAGGTCGTTTATCGTATAATTCAAATTGATTTATCCTAATGATTTCACTTTGAGACGCACAAATCAGAATACATATGGTTTTTGATAACTGCCCACTTCCATTTTATATTGTTAAAACTGCAAACAAACGGAAACTAATATTTTGACAACAACAAGACTAAAGGGTTTCAAAGGTATACTGGTACTATACGCGTTTGAAAATATCTCAAAGTCTAATTTTCCATGTTAATGACGCATATCTATCCCAGCGCAGTCCTTAAAAATGATAAATCTCCTCAAATAAAAAAAAAATGATGTCGACATTTCCATCTGAAATGTGCAGGAAAACATGGCGGAAGAATTTTTAATTAGAAATAGTATAAAACAACGAATCCCAGTGCAGAGACAGGTCGAGCAATAAAGTAGGAGAAACATATTCGAGGAAAATTCGATATGGCTGGAAAAATCGCTTACAGGATACATTTATGAACGGCCGCTATTTTAGAGGCAATGCAGAGCTATTATTATCTTTGGTCACCTAGAGATCTAAAAGGGTGGAACTGGAAACAGCAGATGGGGATTCTTGGATTCTTTCCAGCAACCATAATTCTATAATTTCGAAGGCTTTCACGCAACGTAGGTGGACGGAGGGGTAGGGACCAAAGGGAATGTCGTTTTACGCCAGCACTCCAGACTAGGACGGTAGGCCTACCCATTCTAGTCCATTAGTTAGTTTGATGGGCCCTTGCAGTGCCCTGGCTCAGGAGTATAAGACAGACAAGACGCCCACTGATTTCTAGGTGTTTTAAAGTACCCTCTGCCAGTGTTACGGACAGGTTTTTTTTTTTTACCAGATATTCACCGACAATTCTCTGGCTAATGATGTGCACATTTCGGTTCAGCGTAAAATTTTGTACAAAAATGACATCACTCAGCTAGTTCCTGGTAGAGAGCAGCTCTACAGCAACATGACCTATGCGCTTTGTTCAGCAAAACTGCCCCACCTTACTACTATCGCCAAAGGGATTATAGTGGTCATACTGGAAAGAGAGCAAAAATAAATTCACAAGTCCCATTCTTATTGACACCCTGGATCCGACAATGATAAAAGTTGCAGTTTTAAGTTAGTAAAGATAGTAAGTAGTAATTAGTGAAGATAGCAAGTAAGTAAGCCTATATTGATGTCGTATATAAGGAATCTATCGCTAAATTCGATAAATTAAAAAATTGCCTCTAGACAGTGAAAATAGGTTAAAACGTGCCTATTTGAATGGATGCATAATCACTGTTCCACATTGCCAGACATGCTGGTTGTTTTAGTTTTTACCACAAAAACATGATGGTACTCAACGTGATATAAGCTCTATGTGCTTTCAACTTAATTTGGATGATCAGAAAACAAAAATGAGCTAAAAAAAATGTGATCTGGGAAAGACGCCGCTTTGTTAAAGGAGGTCGATTTTTTCCTTATCCGCTTATCCATTGTCATTTTATGAGATAATGTCGTGGCATCAAAAAAACATCAAGGTGAATTAGCTAATTCCAGCTAATGACGTCATAGCAGCGTTTTTGGGGTGAAAACTGCACTATCAATTTCAAACAGATCATCCTCACCTGAAACCGTTTAAATACCTACCGTGTATTTTATCACAATACGTAGTACAAAAAAGTACTACAATCTGGAGCCAGGAAATTTTCTGTTTACTCAGTAAAGAGGCGAAATTATGTCCTGCTTAATACATCGTAATCCTCTCCTATACAAAACAATTAAAACCAAACGCTGGGGCCAGATTGTGGTTCAAGCCCTAGTCGAGGAGGGGGGGAGGGGGGGTGGCAGAGTTCGAGCTTATAATGGTTGGAGATGGAAATGCATTTTTGTTGAGACGACGTTAGTTTTAGAAAAATGATCTTGCAAACCTGTTTGGATACACTGTTATAAATAAATGAAGCAGGCAGCATTGGGTTTACGAAAGCACGACCAAAATTCGTTTCATGGACTATTAAGTGACAACACCCGTAGGTCTTTAATCATCATGTATCCTGCTTACACAGAACAGGCCTTTCATTAGTTTTGAAAAAAATACAGAAAAAAAAAGATTTACCTGTTTTTGTATGTAAATAACATGCCAAGCTCAAAAAGGAGTGGGGTGGAGGCGAATCTATATATACAAAATTCCTGATAAACGAGTTCTTATGTTAACGTTTTTCACATTTAAACCGCATCAGCAGAAAAGTAAAAATCAAAATACAAGATTACACAAGAAGGCAAGGATAGGATAGAGCGTTTTGTTTGAATGCATCAAAAACTAAAAAGACACCCTCAAAGGGGGATTTTACGCCCATACTTGGCAGCAATTTATTATAAAAATCATCAACTTTGTTTTTATATTTCTGGAAACCTCAGTTTGAAATAAACATGCCTTATAGGCACAACTTCAACCAACATTTCGGTTTTCTGGAAGGGGCAAAACCACTGCGAAAAATTCTCATTTAACTTTCAATTTGTCCTAGAACATAATGTGTTTGTCTTGTAATGAAAAATGCTCTTAATCAGTTCTAGGACATTCTGAAGGACTTCCCAAAAACAGTTCTCGAGCTGTTACAGTCATTACAGAACAACATTAGAATGTTTAAAAAAATACACCAAATGTTTTAGAATTGACTGAGAACCGTAAACATGTACCTCTAACAAAAATCGTAAATGTTTTACCAAAAAAGTTCAACCAAAATGCCCAAACTCGACCAGGAAAATGTGTCCAAAAGTGGTTTTATTTTCAGTTAAAAGATTTCTTTTTCGTACCTAAACTCCTTAAGGTTTAATCTATCCGCAGAAGTGTGATTTATCATAGTTTCAATCATCAATCGGCATGAAATCACCGTGAAATCAACGTTTGGTAATACATTCTTACCACTACGTATAAATACATAAACACTGTACTGCTTCGACTTCTGCATGTTCCCTTCAGCAAACGTTTTTTTTTTTTAATCCGACTGTTCTGCATTACCAGACATGCAGGCTGTAACTTTTTGCCATCAAAACATACTGGCACTGAAATTGTAACCCATTAATGTAGCAGTTGGTTTTATCAATATAAAATGTTCTCAGACTGTGTAAAAGTCGCTTGGTAACCTTGGCAACCAACATAAAATAACATAATTAATATTCTATTTATATTGGTTGTATAATAACAAGCACAATAAAATGTACCACATTGAGATGAACAGGAAATTAGTTGCGATCAAAAATCCTTGAGATCAATAAATGTTTTCAAGATATCTAATACCAAAGAAAATTATCCAAATTCACTCTAATATAATAATGATTGTGGTAAATGCCACACAATCAAATTTTCCATAAATTAACACAACAGGAAATTTGAAATAAATAAAAATTAATTGGGGGGGGGGGGGGAAGGTAGGGGGAGGTCGCTTCGCATCTGCCGACCCCCTCCCCCCTTTAATAATCCTGGATCCGCCCCAGAGTTTAACATTGCAACCATTATTAACAAACTAGATTACTTAACATCAGTGTAAGAATATAGTATCTGCCTCAAAATAAGTGAAATATCATCTGTGTACCAGTATAAAGATATTTTATGCAGTATTTTCGAATGCTTGTAGAGAAAACAAAGCCTTTTAATAACTCCAATACAGTACAAGGCAGCAACGCTGTAAAATGGACAAACGTAAAAGTAAAAAATACACAATATAAAAATGCAATATTACATAATGTAAATTCCACACCAAATTTTAAATATGCACAACAGCTAACATGTATGTTAGGAACATCTAACTAGCATAAGGCATCAAGCCCATGACAATTCAAATTAACACACTTAAAAAGCCAGAATTAATATGACTGGGCCAAGGGTCTTATCATAAAAATTCCAAAGAAAGGTAACTTGCATAACTGTGACAACAAAGTGGCATAACTCTTTTCTCTATCCCAAGCAAGATCTTCTGCAGGATTCTTCTTCAGAGAATTACTTCAGCCATTGACAGCAGGCTGAGACAGGAATAGGCTGGATTCCACAAGGGTTGTGGATGCCTACAATGTTGTATAGGGAGACTCTTTGGGAAAATCTGGAGTCTTCTGGGATCCCTGGCAAGATTATCACACCAAACTGTAATAAAGTAATTTTAAGAGCAGCGTAATTCCTGACAGCAACCACTTCTCAGAACCATTGCCAGTGAACTCTGGCATCCATCAAGGACTTATCCTCTCTCCTATATTATTCCTAGTAAACCATCAAATGGATATCCTGATAGACAACATCAGATAAGGTCAGAGGCATAAAGTGAACCCTGTTCTCCCACCTGGGGACCATGACATTGCCAAGGATCTGGCAGTCCTTTCTGCAAGGAACAATGATCTACAGGAGAGAACTGACAGACACACTGTGATTGTATACACAAAAATCAAAACTTGAGAGAGCTATGGAAAATGCAAATTTTGGCATTTTTCATAAATATACAGTTACCATAAGATGGCAATTATGTGTTATAGGAACTTGGCACTTGCAACACATGCTCCAAACTTTGGGAATTAACTGCCATGGAATGTAAGAAGTCAAAAATTTTCAAATATTTTAAAACTATACAAAAAACTTGTTTTCAAAGAGCTTTAAAAAGTCTGTTTTAGAACAGTATTTAATAAACTAACCATTGTTTACCTCATATTTATGCTATAAAAAACTATTCTTTTTATCTTCAGTGTCATATGTTTGCAATCACTGAGTAAGGCCAGGGTCAAAGATTTTAATGGAAAGTGCCATGAAATAAATCCATTTTATTCCCTATGCCAACAACTAGAGTAAGAGAATGTTTTTATTGGTGTTGGTTTATAGGTTTGATTGTGGACAAGATCTCAAAATGTTTTTTCACAAATTTTGATAACATTTTTCATGACAGGTGGCTAAAGTCTGTACTTTCAGAATGCTCTCTAGTTGTCAATATCAACATTATTATTATTATTATTATTATTATTATTATTATTATTATTATTATTAGGATTTCCCATAGGGGAATACTATTGTTTTTGGTAGTATTATAGTTATTCTTATTATTAGGATTCCCCGTAGGGGAATACTATTGTTTTTGGTAGTATTATAGTTATTATTATTATTCTTTCCACACGTTTTTTTTCGCGAAAAATCTGAAATAATTTACATAGGTAGCCTATGGTAAGAATATGCCATAGACCCAGTTTCAGTGACCTTGACCTACTTTTCAAGGTCACAGAGGCTTTTAAAGGCAAAATTTGTAAAATTTGAAATTGACATAAGGCCTTAAGTATTAGCCATATGGCTATGGGCCTTATGGTCAGTGATACTGAGGTGAATCCACAGATAATGACCTAGTTTTATGCAAGTAGGTCAAGGTCAAGGTCGCTAATGGCCAAACGGGCTCAAAAAAGGTTTGTTTCCGAGATCTCAGAAACCGGAAGTCTCAGAGCCCCGATCATAGTGGCAAATGATGCCCTATATATTTATCTAAGGTTAGCCTTACATTGGTAGCGCCTGCTTAATTACTTTTTTTAATATAGATTTTTAAATATTTATGACATTGCAGAAATCTTGAGTTTGGCAGTTTCTCCATGAAACACTGGTTTTTGGTCATAGCATGCTATAGTAAACTACCCCAAACATATACCCAAAACCCCCAAATCAAATGTCAAATTTGACCTTGACCCTCATTTTCAAGGTCATTTGGCTATTTCATGGAGAAATATTGAAGTGGGCTAAAATTGATGTTTTGTTGACCCCCCCCCCCCCCAATTCGCACATGCTCTTTCAGAATATGGGGTCAAATTTAACCCATGACCTTCAC